TCCAGGCCCGTCAAATGTGGAGCCTCAGTAGCTAGATACTGAGACTTTAGAAATTCTTGGAGTCGATCCAACGTGTACTAATAATTATGGTAGCGATGTCCATAAAGAATTGCCATTGCGATTTCAACACATCGCCCAAGAAGGAATTAGTAAAGAGCTTAAAAAATAATTAGTAAATAAATACCCACTACCAGCTAACTGCTTACTTGTAGTGCTCCCACAATAAATCCCGAGATAAAAAGCAGAGCTTCCAGAACTAGCTACTACGCGTGATAAAGGTATTGAGATAAAAAAGAAACCAACGGCTTCAGCCATATCTTGTTTAGGTCAAGCTATTTCAACATAGCTTAATTGTAATCAAAAAGATAAAGAACTTTTACAAAAACTTATGGATCTCAGCCGTCTAATGTGTGACATACAGCATAGCGACTCCATGACTAGACGACACTTCATTCTAAGTGCTTTAAAGAAGGATATGAAGGAATATCTTACAAACACAAAAGTTGATACCTTCTTATTTGGCTATAAATTGGCTGAAACAATAAAATCGACCGAAGCTGTTAACAAATCAGACATAGACCTAAAGGTGGTTTCTGATGGTACCAAAAACCTGCCAAGAAGAACCGACATTCTTCCTTCAAGGCTTTTAAACCGGAGAGCTCCAGCACCGGCACGCAAGCAGCCGGGCATGGGAGCGAGATTCCGTCAGCCTGCCGCAGCATGACCCTTGATTCTCCCAACGCAGCCGGCTGGGCACATAGCGACGTCGTGGGTTCCACCACCACCGCAGCCGCCGTCGCCACCTCCTCCGACACAACATCCACGTCGTCGTTACTAGATACGTATATTCCAGTTAAGTATGCAGGTCGTTTAACACACTTTTATGATCAATGGTCTATTATCACAAATGTTCACTTGATTCTTTCATGGATTAAGGGTTACAAAATAATTTTTTGGTCACCTGTTTATCAAGAATCATACAGATTCAGAAAAATATCAATATATTGATGCAATTAATAATCTTCTACAAATTGACGCTGTTTCAGAGTGTATACCTTATAAGGGCGGTTTATATCTAATATTTTTAATATAATACAAAAACTTAATGGCAAAATGAGGCTCGTATTGAATCTCAAGAGATTAAATAAATTTATCCAGACGGATCATATACGAATAATATTTATTTACGAAGAATTAGAAGATTTACGAACTGCATTAAAATTAATATCAAAAGATTTCTATATGGCAACATTAGACCTTAAAGACGCTTATTTTTTAATAAACATTCATAATGAATCTAAAAAATATATCCGATTTATTTTTGACAATAAATTATATCAATTTAATGTTTTGCCATTTAGTTTAGCTACCGCACCTTACATTTTTATTAAATTAATGAAGCCGATTACTAGACTTTTAAAAACTGGCGATTTTTTATTTACCTTATACTTAGATAATTGGTTTTTATTGGGTAATTCTTATCAACAATGCTTGACAAATATTGAGATGACTTCCAAACTACTATCTTCCTCAGGTTTTACAATTAATCAGGATAAAAGTAACCTTGAGCCTTCATTATCTTGTAAATTTATGGGAATAGTTGTAGACTCACACAGTCTACAATTAAGCTTACCATTCGAAAATAGATTACGAATTCGATCTCAATCAGAAAGTTTTTGTCAATATGAACGTATTTTAATCAGGGAATTTGCTCAACTGGTAGCTTTACTCGTGTCGGCTTGTCCAGCCATTGAGTATGGAGGATTTTGCACTAAAGATTTGGAGCGTTCAAAATTTCTTAATCTAAAAAATCATAACGATTATGATAAGTATAGGAATATACCTAGTTCCGTATATTCTGACTTTCAATGGTGATTAAATTTAAATAGAACAATTCTTCTAAGGAATTCTGATAATCTTTTTAGTGGTGTCTGTCGACCTCACAAAGCGGTAGACAAACTATTAGCCGATGGGTGAAACTGACATTAGACGAATGTGGACTGGACGTACATATTTGTACTCTCTGCGCACAGCACGCGACATGCCGCCGCGTCCCGGGCACGCTCTCTAGGTGTCAGTGTAGATACAATACTTAAATGGAGCTGCTGCGGCTGGAATGCCAACTCCACTGCTTTCGCCAAATTTTACAGTAGGCCTATGATTAATACAGATAATTCGTCCTTTGCTAAGCCGATAATTAATAATAATCAAAAATAATATTGTGTTTATCGAATTGTGTGATGATTAAAAAAGATTATGTACTATTATAGATTAATAGTAGAATAACATAATGTCGATTAATTTTTAGTTCTATTTGTTCACTTTGTAATCCAATAAAACATACAATCATAAAAGAAGTGTTTTCATTGATAATATTTTTTGGTTGGAACTCTCAAAGTCTACATGTTGTTTATATTCTACAAATAATAATCTCGAGGACGAAGCGCGAAGTATAATTAGTGATTAAACGAACTTACCCAAGTGAAGTTCTATCACAATTATACGAAGCGCTTCGTCCGAAGAGATTAGTACGTACTCCCTCCCGACCCAGTTTAATTATACCCATCAGAACTGTACCAAAAAATATTTCAATGGTCAAACATAAGTTTTAAATAATTTTTAACTCTGAACTTAATGAACAGGAAATGAAATGAACGGGCTAAGTAGACTATGTACCTACCGGGGAATAAAAAGAAAAAGGAAAAAGGGGGAATCCCTCTCTCAACAATAGTGCAGGGGCGGTGTCACTTGTGCGTTACTACATGTTGTTTATATTCTACAAATAATAATCTCTTCGGACGAAGCGCTTCGTATAATTGTGATAGAACTTCACTTGGGTAAGTTCGTTTAATCACTAATTACAGTTAAATGTATTTACTATTTTATAAATGGTGCAATAAAGTGTAAATAAATTCTAATGATCTAAGAGAAGGTATTCTGAAGTTTAACAAAGTAAGAGAGTAAAAAAAAATATTTAACATAATTTTTTTATAAGATCTATTATTTAAATTTACGAGTAAATGCAGGTTGAAATTGTATACAAACGTTCACTTAATAGAAAGTGATGAATCTTCAGATATAAATAACATTATTCCCGTGTGGTCCCGGTATAGAATAGGCTACCCCTTCCTTTCCGGACTGTGTCGTATGAGGCGACTAAGGGAGTCTAACTGCGGTTGCCAATCCGTTTGCCAAGCGTGGTAACTACTGGCAAAACTCCCTTAGGGGAATATGTTCAGCAGTGCATAGTTAAAGGATATGATGATGATGAAATAACATTACAGACATTACAGAACACATTGTGATGCTTATGATAAGCTGTCTTGTGTTATCATATCTGAGGTCCGTGATATTATTTATTTATTTATTGATTAAAAATAATTATAACATTACAACAGCAAAAGCCAAATCAATATTATAAACCTAGTGTGCTATAATAAATGTATTTAACCCGACTCTAGATATTCCTGAGCCGCTTCTAATATCTTTGGCAAGCTATTACTAAATATATCAATGATGTTTATAATATTATTTAAAAACCGTACTGCGTGAGTTATGTCTCTGTACCCTGTAATCTCACTGCTATATTGCTTCTTCAAATGGAAACAATCAAACGACCACACTATGCCAGTAGGAACATGAGTAGAATATCTATTTTACTCTTGTTTTGTACAAAATCACTTTTTTACTTTATCCGAGCAGTAAGTACTTTATATTATTCTCAATTTCGTGTATAATATAGTATATGTCATATATGTGTAAGTATATTTGTTATTCATAGATATTTATTCGTTTATATATGTAATTTTAATATATATGTATATCAATAATTAGTAGTACCGCATTCGAGTATTCTGACACTTCCCTATGGTTGACTGGGAGAGAATGCTTTTAGCATTAAGTCTGCCATGTACACATATTTGTATTTTGTACTAATGAATAAATAAATAAAAATATCTCCTTCTAATGATTTTATAGACCATCAATAAGAATCATTGTTATATCAATCATTAACTGTCCTCTAGCGATTTATCGAGCAAGAATGAATGGAGATGTCGGTAGGGGCCGCCCTAGACGGACGTATGTCGACCAATTAGGCGACGTAGAGAAATGGCCAAAGAAGAATAAAGAATGGCCAAATTAAAAGTACCCGTAACCGGCGAGCGTGTATGAAAAGATTGATGAATGTGGCAGAAGCGAAAGAGGTTCGTTTGAATCGAAGCATTTGGCGTTCCATTGTTTCTGTCTACCCTAATGGGAGACAGGCGTGACAGATATGTATGTATGTATGTATGTAACTGTCCTCTAATGAAGTGTAGTCCATAGGTTTTGCAAGTAGTTGCCTGGCTTGGTAGACTGGCAGTTAGGCTTTATTGGTCAAGGAATGTTGGTCATTTCTTAATCATTAAATAACAATGATTGTATCTACATATATAATATTATATGCCGTATGGTCCTGGAACAGAATGGAACCCCCTTCCTTTGTCATGGGTGTTGTAAGAGGCGACTAAGTGAAACTAATGGTTAAAGGATGGGCAGCAGTGTCCTTCTTAAAATATCACTAAAAGCCTAACTGCGGTTGCCAATTCGCTTGCCAAGCATGGCAACGACTGGCAAATCCTCCTTAATGGGGGAGGTCTATTTTCAGCAGTGAACAGTTAAAAGCTGATATGGTGATGATGATGAATATTACATACTATTGTTAAATCTTTATATACAAAACATAATATTCTAAATGTTAGGTCAACTTACAAAATCTTTTATCTACACTGTAATACATATTATAAAGAGGAAAAACATGCTTATTTGTTTGCAATGAACTTTAAATAAAAAAAATAGTTATATGATTTTAAAAAATTTTCACTTACAGAAAGCTACATTATTAGCGAGTAACGTTGAGCGAAGTTTATTAAAAAAAAAAGATGAAGTGTAAAAATATATTTCTAAAATTTGTTAACAGAGCTTTTTTTTAAAGATTTAAATAAATAAAAGAAACAATATAAAAACATATAACTTATATATTTTTTTCTAACCCTATTTACAACAGAAATAAATAAATGTGTAAAAATAAGGAAGCAACTACCTATTTGGAATGTATCTTTGGCTATTGAATAAATAGTTATTAAACCTAATACCTATATTGTTATTAAGAAACTTTAATTAATAGGCGGACGTACTTTTTGGGCAAAACTGCCAACAATATTTCCAGGTGGGTAATAATTCCCTACTACGTAAATTTGACCTTCTTTGGACCTCGCCATACCGACACCGATCTCTTGTGTATCCTCCCAGATAACCTGAGTAAAATGACCCGTTCCTAAATTGGTAGGTTCTTTGCCAAATTTATGATCTTTTATTTCACTGTACCATTTGTCTACGGGATCCTTTCCAGTTATTTCAAAGTTTGGATTAGAAGACCAAGCGTAAAATATATTCTCACCGTACTCGTCTTGGTCCCTGTGTTCCATTTTGCCTTTCTTTACCAGTGTTTTGGCCCACTCTTCCGCGTATTTGCATAGCTTCTTATTCAATTTCACAGGTGGTACGCCATGATTTTTCCTATACTCATTATGCGCTTTCAGAAACTCTTCTTCGAATTTCTCTCCAGATATGGACGTCGATTTAAATTTGTTCACCAAATCTGATGCTATTTCACTGATATTCTTACTATTTCGCTGTGGAGGAGATGTAGCTGGTACATTATTGTTCGATCCTTTGGGTGCTTCAGAATTATTTGTTTTTCTAAACTGTAAAGCGCCGGGCGGTGGTACGTTTTTAGCAAATTGATTACTGAAATTGCCTGGTGGATGATAGTGGGCGACAACATACAGCTTACCAGACTTGCTCTTGGCACTTCCTATACCCAATTCTTTGGTAGTCTTCCAGACTATTTGTGTGAAATGACCGCATTTTAATACTTCCGGTTCTCTACCAAATGAGAATTGACTGATTTCACTGTACCATCTGTCCACACAATCTCTGGCTTTTATTTTTGTGTTCGTATCAGTTGTCCAGCCACAATAGATGTTTTCGCCGTAGTTTTTATTGTGGCTGTATTCCATTTGGTCTCTTTTCGCTAACTCTTCAGCCCATTTTTGGCTGACCTTACTGATTTCTTTGTTCAAAATGAGAGGTTCCACGCCATGTTCTCGTCGATACTCGTTGTGTACTTCGAGTGCCTCGTTTTCGAAGTCACTGGATTTGGAACCGAAGAGTTTGCTCTGTAATAAAGAATAAACCAATTATTGAAATACTCACCAAAAACAAATTTGACAAATACATAATACTAATTAGATAAATAGATAAAAAAAAATATTTGTATCAATAAAAACAATAATAAACTAAAAGGAAATAATAAAACATGGTAAATAATACTGATAAATTGATTAAAAGCTAAAATTAGTTGTTATTTTTTGTATGTTGGTACTTAGTCATACTATATACTCATATAGTATCAACTTCCTTGGTCAAATACTGATTACACATGATTCATACACTTTTCAAAGTCATACATTTATGATTTAACTGTTTTGTCGAGGTTATGCTTATCTAGGTATGGTACAAAATTTACAGCATTATCAAAATTGGTATGTTCTTTTAAACCGACTTCAAAAAAGGATTCCAATTCGGTTGTATTTTTTATGTTTTTTACCTCCGTTAGTTGGAAACTGATTTGAAAAATTATTTTTTATCTACAAGGACATACTTTTAAACTTGTCCTGTAAACATTTTATCAAAATCTGTTCAGTAATTTAATTTTTAAACTAAAACAATTGGTTTTATCGCAATTGACGTTGGGTTTTTTGTTGAAAAAAAATCTAATTACTTTAATTGTCAGGAAGCGAATTTATGTCATTTTTCACGAAGAAAACTTTCATTAACGTAAACGTATTCTACTTTAAAAATAATATTTTGCAAATACATATAGTTATGTATTCTATTATGTTCATAGCGAGAATAACGATATTTATCATATTATTATTTGTTGTTCTTTTGACGGATCTAACATGGATTATTTGTTGATAAAAAAAAAAACAAAAATCTCATTTAAAAATAACTATTTACAATATAAACAATATTTATATACAGTATTAAGACTGTATATAGGTACATATTATTATTTGTTATAACATTGTTATATAAATAATTTTGCTTATGTAATTAATAATATTGTTTGTTATATTTTATCGAATTGGTATCTAATTCTGTAATGAGGAAGTAATAGGATACACATAAATAAATGAATCGACCTTTGTTATTTATGTGTACAGAGATGGAACCAGTTTGGCTTAATTATTTAATTCTATTTTGAAGTCGTATGAAAGAGAATAGCTTTCAATTCTGGGGTAATTAATAGCATTTACAAATTATAAATATTTATAATATATTTTTTTATAATATTCATATTATGATGAAGATAATGATGATGATGATATGAATATTATAATACATAAGTCGAACTTGCTTCCTGATTATATTATAATTTGCACCAGTTGAAGGCATATATGAGTAGGTTATTTGTGGGACCACGATCTCTATCTTAAACCACATTATCGCTTTTCATCAGGTGAGATCGTGATCATTATATATATATATATATATATAGTGTGGGTGAGGGATGGGTAGCAGAGTTCCCCCTAAAACATATCCGAAGCCTAACTGCGGTTGCCAATATGCCTGTTAAACTAGGCAACTATTAGCAAAACCCCACCAAGAAGGAGGTTTATGTTCAGCAGTGGACAGTTGAAGGCTGATATGAAAATAATGATGATAGCAATCTGACCTCTCTCTCATTCTGAATAATTTGGTCTTTTTAAGCATTTTCCATTAGTGAAGAGTTGGTAATATATTTAATTTGATGGACAAATTTTTGGTGTTGGCTATTTTCTAATTCAAGTCCTTTCGAGATATATAAGTTGAATTAGTATACCACTGAGCCATGACGATTTCTTTGAATTTATTTTCCAGTTAAACACAACATTTGCCATATCATTGTGTACCACAAACTTGAACTGAACCAATCAATCACTTGAATCCGACAAACATTATTTCAAGAGATTTCTAAAAGTAGCGTTTAAATATATTCTTTGTGAGACGAGAGATAGATAAATTGTCGAAAAGATGGATCACCATATATATCATAATCATATCAGCCGTTAACTGTCCTTTGCTGAGCATTTGCCAGTAGTTGCCACCCTTGGCAGTTGGTCACCCAAGTTAACCCTTGGCGATGTTAAAAAAAGAACGCTGCTACCCATCTCTCGATTATTAAATTTTCTTAGTCGCCTCTTACGACATACACGGGAAAGGAAGGGGTGGCCCGTTCTATGCCGGAACTGTACGAAAATATAGCGAATAGATGGAAAGATACTGTTTATTGATTTCGCTAAAAGATTACAGCTGTAAACTTAGTAAAAATACAAAAAAGATATTATAAAAAAGTTCAAACTGAGAAAACAATGAGTGGCCTTGTCCTTAAAAAAGATTTCGTCCAAGCAAACTTTGGATATAGAAGAATAGTAGGGAAGAGTCAGGTGCAGTGTAATATAGTAGATTTATTAGATTTTATCTCAATAACTAATAATATTGGACAGGGAATTCGCAACCATGGTTACATATAGCGCGGATTCAGAAGAACTTCTTTCAGCGGACATTCAGGTTATGGGATGAGCTCCCTGCCGAAATTTTCTCAAGAAATTACAGCATGACACTCTTCAAAAAGTTTTTATTGCACAAAAAAACACTTACTTCAATTGTGGTAAAACCAGTTAGTTTGATTTAAAAATTAAACCATTGAATCGAATTTGATAAAATTTCTATCGAACTAATCTGAAAGTATTTTTCTTGGAAGGGAAAAAAGTATTTCTTAAATCGATTTATAAAACACAAAAAATACGACTGAATTGAGAAACCTCCTCCTTTTTTTGAAGTCAGTTGAAAAAAGGGTACAGAACAAGGTTTAGGTTCAGAAACTATTTAGCATCAGGTTCGTCGTATGCTTGTTTGCCAATAGTTATTAAAAAAATAAAATAATTGCCTCCTTTTTTTAGACGTTGTTTTAATAATGGTTTACTTCTCGTTATTGAGAGTTTCGTTTGATGGGAATCATCAATTTTGTTAATTGCGTCAATTCGCTATACTTTCCCATGGCCGCCGGGTTAGTTATTAAGCCAATTGTGTCAAGGAACATCACTATATGTTTAGTACGCGTGTGATGGATCTTGTTACAAGAATTCATAAAATCTTGTAAATGTAGGTTTCTTAGTAATTAATTTTTGTATGTTTTTGAATGCGTAAATTGGGATATTAACCATTTTATGTGATAATGTTAAAAAAAGATGCTTGAGACATTCGAAATGTAGATAAAGTGTAGAACAGAAAGCTGAAAATGCTGGGCTACCTTATACGACATGACGATTTTTTAAAGAGCATACTACTCGTAGAAGGAAAAATTGTTGTAGTCCACTATTTACGGAGGAAGGAGAAGACCAAGGAACTAACTACATAAGACAGATATAGGAAACACTAGGTCACTCATGTCGTATAGGGAAGTCAAAGATATGGCCTGAAATAGAGCTGGCTGGAATAGAATACATGAATTGATTGCATTGACAAGAGGATACTTTTAAATATAAAAAATGTGTTAATTTAGACTTATTTGACTATCTGTGCCATTAATTTTCGTCGTTAAACGATAGTCTGTTCCCAAGGAATTTATTGAAAATGTAAACAAATGAATAATTGACTCTACCACAGTCAGTTAATATTCAATTTCAAATATAAAATTAATTAATCGATTGAATGAATATGGTTAAACTTTAAAAAAATTAAGAAAAATGGTGTTTTTTGTGGTTCTTGTCAAGTTTTGTTCATGTTTATTAGGTGGTGTTATTATGATTAACTGTCAAAATATCAGTGCATGAGAAGAGAAATCCAAATAATACCCTATTTCGCCAGCATGATAATAACGACCTATAAGGTGAGACCCATAGCCAGTGGGACGCTAATGGGGTGTTGGGAATGAATATGAATTATGTAAATGCCATATTTGACAGAGTACGTGAGAAATATTTTACTCCAAATATTCAATATCATTTTGCAAGTATTTAGAAGTGTTATTACATTTATTTTAAATGGAATTTAACAGCCCAATTGCTAGCAATATACTTTATCAGGTCGACCTTAAACCGGTGCCCCCTGAAATCATCACGAATGAATTAATAAAAACTCTATTATTCTCTGAAAAGAATGATACAGATTATAAAGATTTACATTATATACACAAATAAAATGAATAATTAATTACATAAATTTAATTTTATAAAAGCAAGTTAAAGAGGCAACAATGGGCGGCCTTATCGGTAAATAGCGATCTCTTCCTTAGCATGGAGAGGAATAATTAAATTTTTGCCTGGTTAAGGCGTAACAGAAAAATGAATAAACTGAAAAGGGCGAAAAAAGGGATTAAAGATAAATAATTAATTCTTGTAGAATTTATCACGATAGGTTAAACGACCTGCTTTCATCTTCACTTATCATCTCTCACCGGTACCTCGCCAGTGTATACCAATAAAACAGACGGGGTTATCATTCCATTTTCATCCATTAATAGTAACACATTATTAGTCATACAGTCCATCCATTTCTTTAATATCTTCCTCTAATACCCGTTTATATTCATACATAACACTTTTGTTAAAATATTCTCTTCACATCTCCATATTATGTGTTCATCACCCATCACTGTTCATGTATCACTGGCGCTACTTTCAAATTTCCTCTGATGTACTCATTCTTAATCTTGTCCAGTCCAGTCACACCGTATATCCCATCTCAACATTCTCATTTTAGCTATATACAGTCTTCTTTCATCCATATTTGCTGGTCGATTTCTCATCCCTACAAGAATGCAGGGCGTATCTAACTCTTGTTATCAAATCTCTTGTTAAAAATATTTACTCATATAAATTTCAATCAACGTTAAATATTTAAGAATAGGTATTTATAATTGATATTATGCAGTTATCGAGGAAAAATACGTAAAAGACGTCAATGTAAAAATTTAAAGATTTAGTTCCTTGTATATGTATAATTCATTTTGATAAGATATTTTGTATTAGTTTTCGATAACGGTAACTGATTATAATGGAATAATAAATACCATATAAAAATGTATGTGGCTGTATGAGAGATGTGTTATTTATTAAATAAACTAGCGATTTTAAATACTAGTATTTACAGCTAGCGATTTGCCCCGAATTTGCACGAATATTTAGATAAATAGAAAGAGAAAATTAGTATTTACCAAGGAGATTTTGTATAAAAGTAGTTTGCTTGAGTACCTCTGCCCCCTTCGTGTTTTTACCGTGAAGCAGTTGTATTTGCATGGCTGTGTTTCGATTTGAAGATAGGGATTTGGCAGTAAATTTACGTGGTACAGAGGCATAACACCTTAGTCCTCAGGAATGACAACGCTTGGGGGGTATAATGGGCGAAACAGTATATTCTGTTATGCCCATGGTACTGTTCATCTCTATAGGCAACGGTTACTACTTTTCATCTGGTAGGCCGTCAGCTTATTTGCCATTTTAAGTTGCATAAAAAATATATTAGCTTTAATAGGTAAAGTATTGATACCTTGAGTTATATTTTTATAATTTTCGTGGAGTTCTCTAATTTTGATGATGTAGTTTTCCATAAGTAAATCTTTATTATAAGTAAGTCTTTAACATTAGTTGAGCAGTTTTAAAGCTTATCAGTTACAAACAAACATACATAAATCAAATCTTTCCTCTTTATCTATCTAGTGTATAAATAGTATACACTAGATATAGATTTTTTTATGCCACGTTAAATAAGCTGACCCATCTGATAGTAGTAGTAACCGTCGCCTATAGACATGAGCTAAAAATGTTTTACAGTAGCGAAAATATTTCAAACATTTTTAACCGCGAATCCGTCTACATGACCGTGATATATCGATTGATCGGAATAAAAAGAAGCCCACGTACAAATACTACGTGTGCTGTATATTAAATTTCAGGACAATTGGTTGAATTGTTAAGAAACCAGGAGTTAATAAACAAAGATATATATATGCCCAAGCAAAAGACTTTTGTACAGTCTCCCTGTGATACTTATAATATATTATTAGTAAGCTAAAGATATAATACATACAATAATTTTGCTTCGTAAAAAACGGTAATAACGGTTCGATATTAAAAACCGGCATGCCTGTATGGTCCCGGTATAGAATAGATCACCCCTTCCTTTCCCGTGAGTGTCGTAAGCGACTAAGTGAATGCGAGGGATGGGCTGCGTCCCTCTTAAAACATCTCCAAAGCCTAACTGCGGTTGCTAATTCGCCTGACAAGCGTAGCATCTACTGGCAAACCCCCAAACAGGAGAGGCTTATGGTCAACGATAGATAGTTAAAGGCCGATATGAAGATATTAAAACAAGAACAACACGGCAGTAAAACCCTATTAATTTGAAGGCATTGTAATTGATAATATATTATCTATTATACTGACCATATTTCCTGTTTAGGTGATAATTGACACAACAATGAACAGGGAATATTGAGTAAATCAAATATCAAATAATGAATGTTCAAGACACTGCCATTATTCTAGTCTTCTCATGACCATCTGATTCGATGTAACTTCTTTAAAACGGGAAAATGAGTAAAAAGTGGCAGTTTTGTTTTCTATATTCGTAAGAATTATATTGAATACTGAATTAATGAATGAACATATTAAAATAAATTCATTATTGGCAAAGATATCGCGTAACGTATTCGATCCTACTTTTGAAGTCACTTAAAAATATAGAGGTAGAATTAATCTATCTTTATTTATAGCCGACTTTAAAAGGAAGGCGATTTTCAGTTCGGTAAATTTTTTTATGTATGTTACCTCGTACTCGTAGCTCCGTTAATTGTAAACCGATTTAGAAAATTGTAATATCTGAAATGGTAAACATACATACAGAATACTCTCAGACAATTTTTATGAAAATCAGTTTAATAGTTTATAAATCAAAATAACTGTATGATTTTGTCACCTACAGCATAGGGTTCTTCAAAAGGAAGAAAGATGTTTCTTTAGAGTCGGCAACGCATGCGTAATACCTCTGGTATTAAAAAAAAAAAAAAAGCGTCGCCTATAGATATGAGCAGTACCATGGACATAACAGAGTATACTGTTTCGCCCATGATACCCCCCATGTGTTGCCATTCCTGAGTACTCAGGTGTTATTCCTCTGTACCCAGTAAATTCACGCCATATTTCACCCTTCAAACCGAAACACAGCCATGCAAACAACTGCTTCACGGTTGAAACACGAATGGAACAGAGGTACCCAAGCAATCGACTTTTGTACAAAGTCTCCGTCTGGTTTTGTTTGTGGAACACAATCTTAATTATTGATATAAGGTAATTCAAGGTAATGTGGCAACTATATAATTAGTCTTCAAGGTAACCAGTTAATCTATTTACCTAATAGAAATAGTAAAATCTTATCATACCCTTATCTGCTGGTCTATATTTGTAGAAATAATTATAGCAATAAAGCTTTTGCAGCAATAACACGATTAATTGTTTTCTATGATGATGGTATATATTTCCATTAACTATGATCAATGAAATCATGGTACAAGGCCTATATTACATACCTGTTAGATTTTTTTTTTGATGGGTGAAAATAGTATGGTCACTCCGCCTGCGCTAACGGGATACGCTGGCGGAGCACCAGTGAAGAGTGATAGATGAGAATGAAAACAGGCCAGTTAGCTCATCGTGATGAATTTCATCAGGAATTAACCATGATAGTTTCCAGGGGGAACCGCGAGGAGGTCGACCTGGCTGGGTGTATTGCTAGCAATGGGATTCTCAGTCTACATTACTAACGATTCCTTTCCCCCTACATGTTAGGTTTTGTCCGTGACTTTGTCTATGCGTCCTGTTTGGAAAACTATGTATGTAAGTTTCAAAATGATTGGTTGAGTTATTCAAGTTCTAATATGTAACAAATTTACTTTCATATTTATTATATTAATAGGGATTTATTTATCTTTATATAGTATAAAACAAAGTCGCCACCTGCCGTTTCAACGCGTAAATCTTTTAAAAGACGCAATGGATTTTAGTGAGATTTTCATCAATAGATAGAATGATTCAAGAGGAAGGTTTATATGTATAACTTAATATTGTATGTAAATTTATTGAAAAATAATAATAATTGTTGAGTTTAAGATGTCGGAAGAAATTAAGTCGATTCAGAGATCTACAATCAAAAATTAAAACGCTGCCTTATCCATTTTAGTTATGCTGGAATTGTTTTACTTTTATAGGTCTACAAAAAGTATAGGATGGCGTATGTCTGTCTTTTAAGGACAGCCTACCATATCCGTCTAGTCTCTACTCGATGCAACAAACTTGTATAAAAAATGTAAGCATATAATTCTCTACTACCCGTGGAAAGCCGGAGTGAGTCGCTAGTACAGATTGAAATCAAAATCATTACCATGCATTTATTTATTTATTTAACTCTTTATTACATCATAAATAAAAATATACAATGACAAGTTCAGCACCAAACTGCGGACTAAATTTTTTCAGATAAAATAGAATCTTCCAAATCGGTTTACAACTGATGGAGTTATGACGTATATATAAAAAAAAATCGAATTGAGAACCTTTTTCTGTTTAAATTCGGTTTAAAACAAGAAGCATTAATTTAAAAAGTTTGTTATTTTTCTATGTTTGTTTCTTTTTGGTTAAAGAAATAAAGTGGTAGAATATTTCTTTAGAAATTGTTAATAGCATATAGACGAAATTTGGCCGCTAATAAAAAAAAATATTGCTAATTTATCGAAATAGATGAATTTTAATGGATGTTATAATAACGGATTGTGTTCTAAAGAACTCAATATGATGCCTACAGCTACCTTTCACCATCGCACCGCTCGCTATCGCTAGAATGGTCATATGGAAAAAACAAAAAAATAATATAGTTTCCGCAACAGTAACATTATAGAAAAAAATATACATGTGTGTGTCAAATATAAATCGATGCAGTTACTTTAGTTTTTTAATCAAAATAACTGGTTTTGTCAGATTTAAATCGGATTTTTTATTGAACACAATCTTAAATAATACTTCCACTATATAAAAATATATATTGATCGCGTATATACGTACTGTCGTCCAAAAAACACATCAAAGGATCGATATATATATATATATATATATATATATATATATATATATATATATATATATATATATATATATATATATATATATATATATATATATATATATATCAACATTTGAACGAATAAATTGATAATGTTTTTTTTATCACAAATCAAATTAATGGCAGAAGGTATTTATGGAATTTAATTTATTTATTGTACTTTTATTTTTTTAATTTTAAATGGCCTTTAAAATGTTTCATTTCTTTTTTAAAAGCAAATGAGTTCTAAGTGATATTACAATAATGTCAATCTTTATAAAAACGTAAACATAGAAAATATTCGTAAAATATTGTACATTTTTGTGTTTATTTTAAGAGAATGAAATTGAATGAATTGCTTTCTAATGAATATCTACACTTATAGACTTATGGAGACTTTGTACAAAAGTCGTTTGCTTGGGCACCTCTGCCTCATTCGTGTTTCTATCATGAAGCAGTTGTGTTTACATGGCTGTGTTTCGGTTTGAAGGGTGGGATATGACAGTGAATTGACAGGGTACAGAGGAATAACAACCGAGTCCTCAGGAATGGCTACGTATGGGGGTATAGGCGAATACATACATAGACAAAACAGTTAACTGTCCACTGCTGAACATAGGCCTCCCCCATGATAAGGGAGTTTTGGTAGTAAGTGCCACATTTGTCAGGCGAGTTGACAGTTGCAGTTATATTTTGGTGAGGTTTTTAAATGGACGCTGGTGTTCATCCCTCCACCATTAAGTTCCCTTAGTCGCCTTTTAAGACATCCACAGAAAAGAAAGGGGCATCCCATTCTACGCTGGGACCACACAGCTACTGTGACATAAATTATACAAAAGTTATATGTGTATATTACCGTTGAGACAGATTAAATTAATTTAAAATATTCGTATATTATTAATCCTTTTTTTTTTTTATAAATTTTTATGCAACTTATAATGGCAAACATGCTGACGGTCCGCTTAATAGAACGTGGTAAGCGTCACGTATAGACATGAATAGTACCATAGACATAGCAGACTGCACTATGTCAAATTTAAATTCAAATTTCGAACATATGATAATAGGTATATAGTTAATTCTCACATTATTCGTTATATTAATAAAAAAAAAAATGTACATAAAAATCTTACAATTTTACCAGCACTATTCACAAATCGTTTAATTTAAATTCATACAGCCACAGATTAAATAATCACTAAAGAAGTTCAAACAACTATTTACCATAATTCCCACTGCTCCCCACGATCAGTCCAATAAAAATTTGTAACGCGTCCCTTACTCGCCGTGTCACTTATGATCCTGACCAATTTGTGTGTCCTACTTGTTTATTATCCTCGCGTTTATGCGATTGTACTGTTATATAGCTATGTTATCTGTATATCAGTCTGTCCCACTCCAATTCGAAGTGAAAAACTGAGCGCGATAGCGATTCGATACAAAATGTCAGTTTTGATAACGTAGATATTACAATAGTATAGAATAAACTAATGTACAATATAAAATTTCATTAATTTTTTGCCTGTGGATTTCAGAAGTAGGAAACCAATTAAATAGATCACTTCAAGATGGCATAATGAGATGAAACATACACCACTTTTGAAGATAAATCTTTAGAAATACAACTGTGAAAACTACATCTAAATCGGTGCAGTAGTTTTGTGTAATTTTGAAATTAACGTACAGCTAGATGAACAAACAAAATTTTTTAAAAATTATTGTATTCGCATCTGTTTGTCTTATGAAGACCCCCCTCAAGTAATTTTTTCTTAAATATCCCCCAAATCAACAACAACAAATTAAAATTTTATTATATTACTAAGACTTGTAGTTTTTTCGTCAAATAACTTTAATTAAGTGATTCGAAGTGTCGTATTTAAAAAGAGTATCGTGAATTAGTGACTCGTAACTTAGGTCAATTTATGTTATTTGTAAGTATGTAATTACAATTGTAGTATATATAGTAGTTTAATTGTCAATGATATTAAAAAATATTTGTAACAATTTAAATAATCGAAAACTTCCTATAAATGTATAATCAGACAGATGGTGCATATTCGACAATGACATATTTAATTTACTAAAATACTCAATTTGTAGGCGAAAATATTACAACGAAATAGTCCCGATAAATTTGTTAATTGTTTTTTTTAATCTTAAGTTTAAATAAATATCATCAAACGGTTTTGAATTTAGAATTTACTTCATTAACTATGTTTCTATAATCAAAAAAAATTTTTTTTTAAATAACGTACAATTTGCGATTATTATACTAATGGTATTAGACAATTATTAATACAGTATTTTAATCTATCTTAAATTTTATAATTATCTAATTAAAAAAATAGTTAAAATACGTACCAAGCAATTCATAATGTATTCAAATTAATTATCAAGGCCACAAAAAATATAATACACCATTACTATAACAGCACTAAAAAACTCTTTACCATACACCTGTCTAATGGCGTACTGTTGCAGTGCAAACAAATGAATGGTGAGTAACTGATTTTTTACTATACGTTACCGTTATACACGAGGTGAATGGGCACGACGGGAACAAAGCGATCGCGAAATGAAATCGCAAAAAGGCAAAAGTCACGGAGTTTGATAGCGCGCGTGTCAAATTGTGATCACAGTGTATGTGTTACGAGCAGTAGTATTTTTAATTTACTAACAAGCCCTTCCCTCACGTTGGCTTCTAATATGTTCGGTAAAATAGGGACATTAAATATTTTTAATACGTCTCTAATATAAATTATGCATAATTAATATTTTAGAATATAATATAATAATGTATATATTGAGTTAAATTACTGATTATAGAAAAAATTATTAAAATCGGTTCTGTATTGACAAAAATATCGTCTAAATCTAAATTTAGTACATTTTCAATCGACTTCAAAAGGAAGGAGTGGCTCAATTCGGTTGTATTTCTCTTACTATTTTTGTTACCTCGTAACTTCGTCAGTTGTAAACCCACTTGGAAAATTATTTTAAAACTGACGGTTATCTGACTGGACATACTTATAGACTGATCTCTTAGAAATTTCGTCAAAATATGTAGTGGTAATTTAGTTTTAAAATAAAAATAACTGGTTTTGTTACAATTGAAGTTTGGTTTTTTTGTGGACTACATTCTTAACTATTTATGTATGGGCACGTGATGCGCAGGAATGAGGAGCATAATTATTTTAAAAAAAGTATTAAGAATGAAAGTAGATGGCTATAAGAGGAGAGGAAGATCTAAAAAGACATGGATGGATTGTATGGTACGATATGGCCAAAATGGGAGTAAATGCGGAAATGACTGGGAATAGAAAAGAATGGAAGAGGAAAACTTATTACGCCGACCCCAAATGATAGTTGGGATAAGGGTAGGAAGAAGAAGAAGAAGATTCTTAACTATTTAGATTTTGCATATTCGACATTTTAAATATTTGAGCGATATAATTAAGCGACTTGAATAAGAGGAATATTATTAATTAGTTTATTGTTTGAAAACAAATGTTTAAGCCTTTCGAATGGGTACAATGGGAACAAAGCAATCGCAAAACAAAATTGCAAATGAGTTAACAATTAAGATTAGAACAGAGAAGAAGAAGAAGAATGGTCCATTTATTGTATCTATCTGTTCGTTATATTTTTATTTGTATAGATACAGTAACCTAGATGTAATGTAGTATGTTATATTATTGATAATTAAATTAACAGAATGCAGTAAACAATTCCACTGAACTCAAATTATTATTTTTTGATCAATAAATATTTGCTAGTAGCCTTTGATTAATATATTTATTTACTAGGCGTATCCCGCAGCGTTGCCCGCTTTTAGCTATGTAGTTCCCGTATATCATTCACATTGGAACCCTTCATGAATCTGGTTTTATATTGTATTATATACTTAAATGATAATTACATACCTAACACCTTCATAAAGTTTCAGCCAATCAGTTGAATTTTTGATTGCTTATTTTATAGCATTTTATATGTGATTTTTTAGATTGATATGTTTTTTTATTTATGAACCGATTTAAATAAAACAAACACAATGTTAAGTGGAGCAAACCGCAACGCATCAGTGAAAATAGCATTCAAATTAGTTAAGCCGTTTCTGAGTTTAACGTGCACAAACATACTGACAATCAGACAAACAGACAAAGCGTTATATATCTTCTATGTACAGACAGTGATCAATTACGATTTTATTATATTTATTTATTTAAGACAGCCAATGCAGTTTACACAAATGAAGGAAACACAAAAAGAAATACTGTTATTAATATACAATTATCTACATACATAATACGGTCCGCAACAATACATTTTTCTGTAGCGGTTTAAAATTGGACTACTGTCACAGTTTAAACTGTGTCATTTATATTTCTACGTACCGCAATCGGATGTACAAAGCAGTTAATGAGTTTAGCCATTGACATGTTTTCTTGAATAGAAAATTATTGTTTTACTCATATTTGTTATGAGAGGGATCATGAACATGTGACCTAGTGGTTTACTAATCTAATTTTCTAAACAAAGGTCTTGAGTTCGAATCTTGTCAATTTGTAGGTATGAATTTAAAATTACGATTAAATCTCCGGTGATAGAAAATGCATTTGACACAAGATTTCGCATTCTAAATTCAAATATTTTAATTCGACTATTTTCGAGAACTGTCTCGGCCGCGGAGTTGCCATTTATGAAGTAGGCGGTGCATTTTCTTTTGTTTAAAATAAGAACAGAAAATTACTGGTAAAATAAGTTTATTATAGTTAAGATCGTGGATTGTTTTTTGAAACAACATTAACGCATTAGAATTATAAGATGGCCGGTCTATAATATTCTATATTCATTTATTTTTCTTATCAACAATCCACTGATAAGAAATTTAGATACGGTGCAAAGTACTGTATTTAATACCTGAGTTATTGCATTTGTGCCATTACAGTTCACATCCTATTTGTGTAACATACCTAAAGGATTTTAATTAAAGATTTTATTTATTAAAAAGTTCTTTAAACTGGACAAACTTAGTATAGGAGCAATTTGGAAAAACATTGAATCATTTCTTTTTTATTTATTTGCTACTTAAAGAGATAGTTTGACAGTTCGCCTTACGGAAAGTGGTAGCTGTCGCCTATAGACATGAATAGCACCATGGAGGTCACAGAATATACAGTGATACCCATGCGTTATCATTCCTGAGAACTACGATGTTGTGTTTCCCTGTAATTTCATTGTCATATCCTATTCCTTTTTCCATGGCAGGGAGTCAGTGGATGCAGTTGGCTCAGAACTATTCCTTATGGCAAGCTGTGAGGAAGGACTATATCCAGTAGTGGTTGAATAATGGCTGAAATGATGATAATCATGATTCTGTTCCTCAAACGGGATCTCAGTCATGCAAGCACAGATACTTCGCGGCATAAACAGGAGTGGGGGCAGAGGTACCCAAATAAATGACTTGTATATAAAACTCTATGGTAGAAATAAAATGAGCATAGTCATAAAGCAGTAAATATATATTTTGTCCAGAGAATATTAATAAGACTGTAATATTTAGAGCGTTTTATACCAGAGAGAGACAAAAGTTATACGCGTGGGGACATCTGTCCTATTCGTGTTTCTACCGTGAAGCAGTTATGTTTGTATAGCTGCGTTTCAGTTCAAAAGGTGGTATATGGCAATGAAATTACTGGATTCAGAAAAATACCCTAGTCCTCAGGAATGGCAACGCATGAAGCGTATTACTGGCGACACAGTATATTCTGTTTTGTCCATGGCACTGTTCATGTGTATAGGCGCCAGTTACACTTTCCATCAGGTGGGCCGTCAGCTTGATTGCTAATAAAAGGTGCATAAAAAAATTATTTAATTTTTTTTTAATAAATTAATTATTATTCAGCGGATAATGATTCTTGTACTGATTACCTACTTACAAGAAGGCATGGACGCGTACACAGCATTGTTAAACATTATAATGATTTGTACATACGTGAGTAGACAGTTAATGCTCACAGTACAGACTTGTATTACATGATTATCATTAACATCATCATCATCATCATCATATCAGCCTTTAACTGTCCACTGCTGAATCTAGCCTCTCCCTAGGGGGATTTTGCCAGTAGTTGCAATGCTTGGCAAGCGGATTAACAACCGTAGTTACGCTTTAGAGATGTTTTAAGAGAGACGCTGCTGCCCATCCCTCGACTATTAAGTTACCTCTTACGACACCTATGGGAAAGGAAGGGGTGGCTTATTCTATGGCAGAAATACACAGGATGTGATCGTTATAAGGAAACAAAATGAATCAACCAACTTCGAAAAAAGGAGTTTCTCAATTTGGTCGTATTTTTTTTATTTGTTACCTCAAAACTCTTTGAGATGTAAATTGATTCAGATTTTTTTATCTGAAAGGATATATGTATTTACAGATTAGTCCCATAGAAATTTTGTAAAATTCAGTACATTACTTTTTAAATCAAACTTATTAATTAAACTGCATATCATTCATGTTGTGTTAACACGTTTTAAGGTATCATACTTGTCCAATGTCTTGTATATCTATAATTAAACATGTACACTTTTGATTGTTATCTGTTGTGTTTTCCAAATAAAATCAATCAAAACAATTGATTTTACCTCAATTAAGACGATTATTATTTATGGAATACAATTTTATGTCCTTATTAAGTCTGCAATTGAATTTTTATAGATTAGTTTCAAATTATTATTTTTTATTTTATTTGTTTATATTTACTTATATACGAGTATATAAGTAAAGACTACTAGTTTTTTTTAAATATGTTGAATAAACGAGACAAAAAGTAGTTTGTATCCTTCTCTATTCAAGTAAGTATATCTTTTCTGATAAAAAAAGAATTTTCCAAATCGGTTTACAACTGACGGAGTTATGAAGTATCGAACTTTTAAAAAAATACAATTGAATTAAACACTTCCTTTTTTTAAAGCCGGTTTAAAAGTAGATAATAAAACGAATAAAAACGGCAGACACAAACACTGTAATCAACGTCAAAACATCTAATCAACTACTATTTACGTTGTCTACTTCTATTTGAGTTAATTATATTTAATATTGTACTCACAATTAAAGAACATCCCGGAATAATGCATGGTGCCTTCATTATTTTGAAATTACGCACTTTTAATACACTCCGGCACGTTATTTTATCGTTAAATTCCAGGAAAATAATTTCTAAGTTTGAAATTACACTATGCGTGGACAGAGTGAGGTAATGTACTCGTGTTATTAATATAGGAGATAAGAAATGTGTTTCGTGAGCGCCGGTATGAGACATAAGAGGTAGCGGAGAATAGAAATATTTATTATTGAGGTAAATTCTTAAGCCTCTACTTGATTTTTTTAATTTTTTCATTAATTACTATTTAATAGTATTGTTTTTTATTCTACCGCCAAATTCAAAATACGATTTTAATTAAGAAGTTCAGTATAACAAAATTTGATATTTTATTATAATAATTACTAGTTTTACTTACATATGATTAGGTTGAGAAAGCTCGACTAGTTTCGGGACCATTCAGAACAGTTAATCGTGAGCGGCTGAGATGCGAGCGCGATCGTGACTGCGCGCTTCCGCCCGTCGAGCGCCAGCTGTAGACATTAGCAAAATTTAATATTTACAAATTATAATATCGTGTGAATACAAAATAAGATATTACCGTTCATAAATAAGGTTTCAGTTGGAATTCCCGATTGGACCAATTAAGAAAATTACCTTTTTTGAATAAGTTTGAGTCTGAGTATTTTGGGCAGCTTTGTGTGTGATCTAGGTGCAATTTGTGTAATTGTTTAGCACAAAAGATTATTATTAATTAGAACTAATTTACAATAACTAATAATAAACCATAGAATGCAGTATTATCCAACCGACATCACGTTTGTTTATCTGTCAATCTTTTATTATAAGTATTATACAATGCATACAGTATTATATGATACAGAAAGGCAGCTGCATTTTTTATTAAATATTTATTGATAAGAATAGTGTGCTCGGGCACGTTCAGCCATCCAAACATATTATATGTATTTTACATATATATTCTTTGTCTTCATTATATGCACACATTGTTATTTTTCTTATTTGTATGAGTGTTATAGTAATATTTATTACTAACGACTCGTCTAAGGGTGGTATCCACTAGTATCAAGAGTTTTTAGGCCGTATATATACGAAGGCCCCTATTAGTAGTCTAAACGTAGTTTGATGTTTAATACTAGAAATATTGGCACCAAACTTTAAAAGACCCATCTTACTATCTTATTTCCTACGAGTATTATAAATTAAAAAAAAAAATATATATTTATATAATGGATAGTTATTCTTTAAACGCCTGATCACTTGACTGTATTTCGAATAAAATTTTACACCTATTATGATATGGACCATACTCAGGGTATTTTATCCTTATACATACGGAGTTTGTCCACATGTATAATTAAACAAAATTATTATTTATTCATTTTTACATTTTATTGTACTGATTACTAAAGTAATAAATATAAATATATAAAATTTTAATACGAATTATTTACAAAAGGCAGCCGAATTGCTAATCAATGTCTTCTAGACAAGTTTTGGGTAAAAGATATTGAGAAAAAAGTCAAAAGGTAAGTGACACAACACATAACACTAATACGGATACGGATAACAGGAGGGAACGAAAGAGAAAGGTGAAGATAAAACACAGGGAAATTAATTATTATGAAATCCAAGTCGCTTTCGCTATACGCTATAAACTATATTTATTAGAATGTGTCTACAGATGAAAGTAAAAGTTAAGTATCAAAATTGAGTCATCGGATAAGCGTCTAATATTCGATGACTCATTTTTAACTTTTGTTCTATTTGGGTCACTTAAATCAACTTAATAGTGTTGTTATAAGAAACGATTAAAGGTCATAGACCTGGGAAGTACACACTGTGAGTACACAAACATGTACAAACATGTGAGGTTCGTGGTTGGTTGCCTTATGCTTATGTATGCCCGGTAAGGGATATCCACTCGAAATTAGTAAGTAGTCGAAGTAACAACAGTACTTCGAATTACATAGTCAGTATGTTGTCATTTTCAACTAACTTCAAAGAAATAGAAATTCCTCTATTAGGGTGTATAATTTTATGTTTATTGGCTATCGAATATAAAAAAAAGGCAATGAGAACTCTGTTATTCCTGTACCAATTGAGTGGCAAACAAGCTGACGGCCCACCTGATGGAAAGTGGTAACCGGTACCTATAGGCATTAGCAGTACCATGAACATAACAAAGTAATACTGTTTCACCCATGATGCCCCATGCGTTGCCATTCCTGAGGACTCAGGTGTTATTCTTCTGTACCCAGTAAATTCACGCCATATCCCAACCCTTCAAATCGAAACACAGGCATGCAAACACAACTGCTTTACGGTTGAAACACGAATGGGACAGAGGTATTCAAGCAATCGATTTTTGTACAAAGTCTCCCTCTGGTAAATAATATATAAATTTCATATAAGAAAGGCATTAAAACTGAACTAGACCCCCATTTAAATACATCTACATACACAAAGTAAATAAAATAACCAACTTGGTGGAAAATGGTAAACGCACATACAAATATGAACGACAGTGTGTTCAGAGCGATGACGTCATAGTTTCATTATACATTGCCATTATAGAACACTAAGGCGTTTTGTTTCTGTATCTTGTAATTTTATTGCCTTAACTGATCTTTCTTATTTATTAAAAAAAAAAAAAAAATTGATCACATTACAAAAAAAAAACAATGCATAGTACAAAAGGCGGACTTAATGTTATATAGCATTCTCTCTCAGTTAAAAGTTGAGAAAACAGAAATGTACGGTGAAAAATATTGAAAATTATTGTTAATTTCTTCTTTTATATTTATTTATTTATTTACAGGATTACGAACATAAGATACAGCTACAATAAAGATAAGTTTTAATATAATACACTGGCAGCTCAGATCTCACCGTTTTTACATTTATAGGCAACCACAGTATGCCTTGTGTTTGACAAACATTAAAATATAATTAAATTATTAAATGAGTAAAGATATTACAATATGAATAATAATATAATATAAATAATGGAAATTGTATTCAAATTATTATAAAATATAAATAAATATATTGTAATGGGGAGGTATATCAACGTAAAAAGGGAGGTATATGAATACAAAGTGACTATCGCAGTGAATATCAAGTTCAGGCTTGGTTTTTACAATATCGTTATACAGACGCGTTATGCGGACGATAGGTGATTCGCGACCCAAGTTTGTTCGGCAAGTTGCATTTTTAAATAGATTACAAGGATGGTTACATGTAAGAGAAATTCTTTGTGTAATCGGCCAATCGCTTATGACTTATAGATTATTTCATCACAACGTAAAACAGTGTTAAGACTGTTTACAGATCTCGAGCCTGTAGCGAGATAAGTTAAAGAATTTATGAATATTTATGCCATTATTAGATAAAACCAAAAAATGTGTTTATACTTATAATTCTTTCTTACCGTAATGTTGATTGCTTGGGAGTCAAACTGTATTAATCAATTTTCAAACGACTTAAAAAACGAAAGATGTTGTTGCATTTTTATGTTTGTTACTTCATAACTCCGTCAGTTATAACAACCCGATCTGGAAAATTCTTTTTTATTAGAAAAGACTAGATATGCATAGATTGGTCACATAGAAATTTCTATCAAAATCGGTTTAACAGATTAATTTTGGAATCAATATGGCTGATTTAGCTACAATTGTAGTTGGTTTTTTTGTGAAGCATAATGTTACATTATACTTTAATATAAGTTATACTGTAAAATTTAAGGGTTTATAATGGAGGGGCTGATAATAGAAGTTTTTATATTTAAAATAGAGTTTTTATATTTTGGTCCTGACAAAGTGTACCTAATATTAAAAAGACGAGGGAATAAAGTCTGTCGATTGCGAAA